TGTTGCAAGACAATTGGCAAAACAGATAGAATCCCTTTAAAAAATCAAGAGTGATACGGTGTCGCCTTCAAATTATACAATGGTTGTGTTTTGATATACTTGGCCACAAAAATTCCGCCCGGAGTGATCCACCCTCCAACAGTTTCCAAGCAAACCTCATGAATAACGACTTTTGGACTTCACCAAAATCTCGAAAGCCTAAACCCCCTTCTTCAATTGGGAGGCAAGCTCTCTTCCATGACACCCATTTTCGTCGCTTCTCTCCATCAGATGCATTCCAAAGAAAAGAAGAAACAATACGGTTCAACTCTAACTGAATACCCTTTGGTAAATTTAAAATCGACATTATGTAAATGGGCATACTACTGAGAACGTGCCTGATCAGAATAATTTTACCTCCAAAAGATAGCAAACGTCCTTTCCACCCAGCTAATTTCTTTTGGATTTTGGTCAGCAGGTGTTCGAGCATATTTTTCATAAGTCTCCCATTAAAAAAAAGGCACCCCCAAATAGAGACAAGGCGAATCTCCCTCCTTAAATCTCGATAATGCCATCAATTTTCTCCTTCTAGCCAAAGTGATATGTCTCGAAAAGAAAATAGATGATTTAAGTGGACTTACTAGTTGACCGAAAATTCTCTCATACTTCTTTATCAGCTCCAATAGACTACCTATTGATTTCTTGTTCCCATTGCAAAAAATAAGAAGATCATCAGTATAGAATAAATGACTAATGGCCATATCCCCAGAAGAAAAAGGTTGAAGCCAACCACATTCAAAATCCTTATTAAGCATTCAAGAAAACAATTTCTGCGCCAATATGAATAGGTAAGGTGATAAAGGATCCCCCTGGTGTAGCCCTCTCGAAGGTTTGAAAAAACCTTTAGTATTTCCATTCAACATGATCGAAAAAATAGGAGAGGAAATGCAATTAAAGACGAGGTTCCTCCATCCATCCGAAAATCCCAACTTCTTTAGCACTGCAAGAAGGAAGCCCCATTAACCCGATCATACGCCTTTTCCATGTCGATCTTCATTAAAATATTTCTACCTCTTACTTTTTTATGTATTCTATGCACCATTTCTTGAGCAATTGAGATATTATCAAAAATACTTCTACCACGAATAAAAGCTGATTGCTCACGAGAGATCACCTTTCCAAGTATAGGCGCCAATCTAGCCACCATAATCTTTGACAGAATCTTATAGACCACTAGCATAGACTAATAGGCCCGAATTTATTAAAGCTATTAGGGAGTTCAACCTTTGGGATAAGAACTATATTAGTTGATCCTAAAGCAGTGTTCAGTGGCACTCCTTCAAAAAATTGCTTTGCTACTTCAAAAATATCCTCCTTTACAACCTCCCAAGCATGAGTGAAGAAATAAGCACCAAAACCATCGGGTCCAGGACTACTATCCCCTGGGGTAGACCAAAGTGCTTCACGAACCTCCTCCAACTCTAGTGGTTTACATAAATTCTCATTATCCTCCGTAGTGATGGACGATTATAGTAAGTCGAGATCAATAGTGTCCATTGAAACATAGGGTACCGTAAATAAATTTCTGAAAAATTGTACCGCTCCATCATGAACCTCATCACCTGAGTGTAATATACTCCCATATTCCAATATTATATGATCAGTAACTTGGCTTTTCTTTTTATTCTTCACAAACGCATGAAAGAACTTTGTGTTCGCTTTACCCTCTTGTAGCCATTTAATCCGTGATATTTGCTTCCAAAATGATTCCTCTCTATCAAGCCACATAGAATGTTGACTACGACACTGTAGTAATTCGGCCTCCACTTCCACAGAAAAATTCATCCTGAAGACAGTTCTCAAGGTGAACCATCTTGTCTTCCAGAAATCCGATCTCCTATTGCACTTTACCAAAGACTTCCACATTCCATTTTCTTAATGCCAACTTTTGGGCCTTAAGCTTACTAGTTAGACGAACCATAGGAGAGCCACTAATTTTCATCGCCCATACCTATCTAACGAGGGGGAGAAGACTCTCGTGGAAGCACCACATCCGTAGAAATCGAAAAGGGGCGAGGGCCTAGTAAGTTCGACCTCTCTGTGCATCGAATCACCATCGAATAGTGATCAGAGGAGGTCCTGTCCAGATAGGACATAGCTAAAGAGGGAAATGTATCCTTGAGATTCTGGTTAACCAACACACGATCCAATTGAGCCCAAATATGGCGAGCCCCATTACGTCCATTACACCAAGATAATTTAGGTCCATCAAAGGGGACTTCAATCAAGCATGGATCCTGGATGACGGAATTGAAGTCACGTTTGGTCGTTGATGACGTAAGTATTCCACACAACTTTTCCTCATTCTACCGAATAGTATTAAAATCTCCTCCAACAAACCATGCAGTACCCATAGTGTCCAAAGCACGAAGTTGATCCCATAACAATTTTTTTTGAAAAAGAATACACGAGATATGTGTATTCTTTTTCCAAAATTAGAATCGAAAAAGAAAACATCATTTTCTCGATTGAGTGCTACTCGTGCCACATGATCGTCGTGCACATGAGAAACACTTTTCTTTTTTAAAATTAGAATCGAAAAAGAAAACAACGTGGACAAGAGTAACTATCATAATATCCCTAACCTAATGTAATTTTTAGTACGTGGAGGAGCATTTAGGAAGATACCACCATCTTCTATGTTAGTAAATGATGTCAACTCGAATTTGGTATGTGGCGATATCTCATCTCATGTAAGATATTGTTAAATAGTATGGGGGTATGACTATTCTTCTCGATTGAGTTTTACTTGTGCCTATGGTCATCATGCACACGAGATGCATGCTTTTTGTTTTTTTTTTTTTTGAAAATTAGAATAAAAAAAGAATAACATCACGTTCTCGATTGAGTACCAGTCATGCTACGTGATTGCATGCACTCGAGAAATACTATTCTTTTTTAAAATTAAAATCGAAAAAGAAAACAACGTGGATGAGAGTTATTTTTATACCATCTTTAACCTAATGTAATTTTTTAATAAATCGAGAGAAATTTGAGGAAGATGGGGCCCACCATCTTCTGTGTTAGTACATAACGTCAACTAAATTTTGGTTTGTGGCGATATCTCACCTCATAAAAACTATTGTTAAATAACTTGGGTGGTACGTGGTGATATCTCACCTCATAAAAACTATTGCTATATAACTTGGGGGTATGACTATTCTTTTTGATTGAGCTTTACTTGCACGTGGTCATCATGCACACGAGATATATGTTTTCTTTTTCAAAATTAGAATAAAAAAAGAAAACATTGTGTTCTCAATTGAGCGCTGCTTGTGCCACGTGATCCTCGTGCACACGAGAAATACTTTTGTTTTTTAAAATTAGAATCGAAAAAGAGAACAACGTGGACAAAATTTACTATCATACTATCCTTAACCTGACGTAATTTTTCGGTAAGTCGAGGAGCATTTAGGAAGATGGGGCCATCTTCTGTGTTAGTAAATGAAGTCAACTTAATTTTGGTATGTGGCGATATCTCATCTCATGTAAGATGTTGTTAAATAGTGTGGGCGTATGACTATTCTTCTTGATTGAGTTTTACTTGTTCTACGCAGTCATCATGCACATGAGATATATATTTTCTTTTTTAAAATTAGAATCGAAAAAGAAAACATCGTGTTCTTGATTGAGTGCTACTCGTGCCACATGATCGTCGTGCACACGAGAAAAACTTTTCTTTTTTTAAAATTAGAATCTAAAAAGAAAATAATGTGGACATGAATTACTTTTATACCATCTCTAACCTAATGTAACTTTTCAGTAAGTTGAGGAGCACTTTATGAAGATCGGGCCACTATTTTCTGTGTTAGTAAATGATGTGAACTCAATTTTGGTACTTGGAGATATCTCATCTCATGTAAACTGTTGTTAAATTGCTTCAGTGTATGACTAATCTTCTCGATTGAGTTTTACTTGTGCCATGTGGTCATCATGCACATGAGATATGTGTTTTCTTTTTTCAAATTAGAATCGAAACAAAAAACATCATGTTCTCAATTGAGTCCTACTCTTGCCACATGATCAAACACGTCCGAAATATACTTTTATTTTTTAAAATTATAATTGAAAAAGAAAAACAACATGGACAAGTGTTACTATTGCGCTATCTCTAACCTAATGTAATTTTTTATTAAGTTGAGGAGCATTTTAGGAAGATGGATCCCACCATCTTCTGCGTTAGTAGATGATATCTAGCCCCCGTTTGGTGCACATTATTTGGGAAAATAATACATTTTTTTTCACTAAATCAGCCTACAATATTTGACTTCAACACTCTAAGGTAGGACCCATGATGTGATGTTTAAAATGCATTTTTGTTGGAAAAATGTGGAACAAACGACCCTTCAATTTTGCCATTTTGGTACGTGGCTATATATCACCTTATGTAAACTGTTATTAAATTGCTTGGGGGTATGACTATATTTCTTGATCGAGTTTTACTTGTATCACGTGATCCTAATATTAATTACATACTTTGTAATTTCAAATGGTTAAAAAAATGTGAAACCGAAAATTGTTGAATTTTGACCTGGGGCCGGAGCGACAAATTATGCGGTCACCTATAGATTCCTTGTGATCGTCATGTTGCTTTTACCAAGGTTCACTGTTTCTACCGGCTATTACCGGTGGCCCGACAGCAGCACTATAGGGCCCTGTTTGTTTATTCTATTAGAATACATTTGTGGCCCTAGCTAAATGGGATTACTTTACTATTATATTCAAACAGTGCCTTTTTTTAGTGACAATTTGGAAGCTTGTGGATGAAGGGAAAAAAAAATGAAAACGTGTCGGTAAATGTTGAATTTATCCACGGCTGACAGAAAATACACGTTGGCAAGAGGGGATTATGGCCGTTGATGGAGTAGAAAATGAAGGGTCGAGATTGAGTTGGGTGAGATTAGAAATGGATCTGAGCCTTCCACAAGGGTTTGGAGAGTGTGAAATAGCCATAAGAGATGGACATATGATAAGATTGAGAGAGAGACGGGGCAGAGAGAGAGAGAGAAAGTGAAGGGGATTAGTGAAAAGAATCCACTTAACAGGAGATCTTGGAAAAAATTGGTACTTTTTTTTGGTGGGTTTTCTATCTATGGTTTCACCGGAGGGTGGAGTGAATCTTGATTTTCCGGCGAGTATCATTTCATTTTTTGTGGTGACTTTTCCTCTAACTAAAACCTGGTGAGATTTTCAGATTTGTGGCTAAATTTGTGATTACAGAGCATAGACAAGTCACTGATGGACAGAAACAGAGAGGGCCGTAGAGCTAGTATCGTGGGCTCTAATGGCTTCAACAGAAGGAGACCCAGGACTAACAGTCACAGAGACTCACCTGGTACCTCTTTTTGCAAGATCTGATTTCGTTTCTCGCAAAGATTTGATCTTTTTTTTTTTTTTTCCCTGTTTTAAATATTGGTTTTGGTAAAGATTTGAGCTGTTTTGTTGCAGATGAAGATGGTGGATTAGAGTTACAAGAATCCGTCAGGTTAAGAGACAGAGGAAAGAAAGATCGAGATCGGGATCGTGAGAGGGAGAGAGAAAGAGAAAGGGAACGGTCCAGTAGGAGCAAGAGAAGAAGAGCTGAGAGAGTGATGAATAATAAAGAAGATGGAGGAGATGACACTTCAGAAGAAAGCATGGATGATGATGAAGTCTATGAAGACGAAGAAAATATGACCACCTCCACCTCTACCACCACTATCGGTGGCGGTGTGAGGCCGCCGCCGCCACAAGTGTCGGGTTTCGTTTCCAACCACCACCAGCATAGCAACCACCATCATAGTCACAGTCAGCAGCATAATATTAGTAGTAACAACAATATTAATAATAATCACCATCTTCAGCATAGAAAAAGCTTTCCTCCTGCTTCTTCTTCTTCATCTTCTTCAAAGGTTTTCAGAGGAGCACCTGTTTGGAAGGCCGGTGATGAAATGATTGGCGTTTCCGTCCCCAGAAAAGCTCGTTCTGGTAATTTTTACTTTTTCTTGATTTGTATTGTTGACGGTTTTCGTTAAAGATCCGATTTTGATGGGGTTTTCGGCCCTTCTTGGATTTTTTTGCAGCATCTACAAAGAGGTCTCACGATTGGGTTTCAAGCAGTAGCAATAACAACGTTGGGGTTGCCGGAGGAGAGCAGATTCTCAGGCAGTCGTCGACTTCTCCAGCGAGACAGGGTATTGCTTCAACCTCAGCGCCATCGGCTGCAGCGCCAATGTCTCCTTCGCTGTCCAATGTTTCGATTAGAAAGAAGCTAGTTAGTATTTGAACATCACTATATTCTTGTTCTTTTTCAAGAAATTCTTTATTATTGATAAATGGTCGTTTTGAATTTTGCTGTGCAGAAACTTGGTATCAATAACGGGCAGAAGCTAAAGCCGCCGCAGGCATCATCAAAATCCAGTTCTTTGAATCCAGAGGATCTGGAGATTGAAATTGCTGAGGTGTTATCTGGGTTGAAGACACAACCCCAAGGCCCTTCATCCAAGAAAGAGGATTCGGGGGAAGTTAATAGATCAAGCATAGACGGTAAATTGCATGTTTCTTCTCCGATCTCCAATTCTACAATGGCTAACAATCCGATTTTGCCTCCGACTTCTAGCCCCCTTTCAGTTGTTGGTAAGTTTTCCAGTTGAGTATCTGTTCATGTATAAATGAGTTTAGTGGCTGAAAAAGTTGTGTATTAATGTTTTTTCAGCCCCAAAAAGAAAGAAACCGAGACAAGTATTGGAAAATCCGAACTATGGTGTTCGTAGCAGCCCCTGTTCTACGGATCAGAAGATGAAGAGCGAGACTGGCTCTCCTAATCTGGAGAAAATCCTGGGATCTACGGCTGATAATGGGTATGATATGGGCAATTTGGTCAATTCTCAAGCTGTAGTGGCGCTGCCACCGGAACCTGTACCACCAGAGGCTGTGGTGGGATCGGAATCTAAGCCACCGGCTGAAGAATTAAGAGAGACCAGAGATTCAGCTACGGAGGAGTTGAGCTCACCAGAGAAGAAGGAATATCCTGTGGTGAGGTTAGAGGGTAATAATCCTGAGGACTTGACAGCGACTGCTTCAGTTTCTTCTCCAGGGATTAAATTGTAAGTATCCAAAAATTTGTTCATTTGAGTGAGAAACTTTCTAAATTTGTGTTTATAATTGTTCTCGTGTTGTGGTATTGTGAATCCAGGACTTCGATGCTGTCTGGAGCAGAAAATCATAGGGAACCAAAGTTCGAAATAGATCTAATGGTAAGAATGAGGATACAGCGAGATCAAATTGTGTGCGGATGATTTATTCACTTCTCCATTCAGTTAAATTGATTTTCGGATGTTATTCTTCTGAACCTATTTCAGGCTCCTCCTCCACAAGTCAAGTCATTGTCAGAAAGTGATGCCAAGATTGAATTAAGGGCCGATCAGAAGTCAGTACTGTCAAGTGTTGATGCAGTGAGTATTGGGTTGATTCTCATTTTTTTGGGATGTTTTGACCTTTGTGGGGGTGGCTAAGATGAATTTCTTATTTTAACGGGAGCAGGATATGAAGCTGGTCGAAAAGGAAGACGAGAAAGTGAAGGATCAGAAAGATGATTCTACTAATGTGGGAGTTGAAGATAAGAAAGGTAAGGGATCTGCTGAAGAAGATAAGACAATTGAGATTAAGGGGAGGACTATTGCTCTTCAGCTTGATCTGGAAAAGCCTGAAAGAGATGGGAAATCTGTAACAGTTAACAAATTGCATCAGCAATTACCAACTAAAGCTACCAGAGAAGAACCACAAGCTGAAAAATCTGGTAAGTTGTTGATGTTTTTTAGATTCCGAGATCTGAAAACATTATTGGGTTCCTTGTTCTTGAGGGATTCTTGATTTTTGATTTAGGTCAATCAACGAGTTCATTGCCTTTGCCAGTATCAGTGGCTGGTTGGCCCGGTGAGCTTCCTCAAATGGGGTACGACAGGATTTGATCATTCTTTTATGATGCTCATCAATTGCATGTTTAAGTATGATATCTATGGTTTAAGTACTGGATTTTTGCCAAAATAACTCCTATTTTCACAAGCAGATACATGGCACCGTTGCAAGGAATCGTATCAATGGACGGAAATGCTGTTACGCCGGCACCAATTCAGGTAACACAGTTCATTAATCTTCCATATGGTTGATTGTGCTTCTCTTCTTTTGTCAAGGTGGATCTATTTGAGTATCTATATATGTGTGTGTGTATGTGTGTCTATATATATATATATATATATATATATATGTTCCCCTTTTTTGACCTTGTTAATGTGAATTTCTCAGCCATTATTCTCTCATCCCCGGCCCAAAAGGTGTGCAACTCATTGCTACATTGCTCAGAATATACACTACCTCCAGCAGTTTGCTAAGGTGAATCCCTTCTGGCATGGCTCTGCCTCGATGTTTGGATCAAAACCTTGCAATCTTAATGTGGTGCCTTCTGCTGATCTGCTTGGAAACATGGCCATTCGAGGTGTAAACAATATACCTGATAAGAGGCAGGGTCTTGCTAATATCCCCAGTCATATTGGGAAGGAGAAAAGTTCTCAACCTCCTAGTACTTCGGATTCTGCTCAGAGAAAGCAGATTTTGCTACAGCAAGCTATGGCACCTAACAATTTAGTGGTATAGTGCTCTCCTCCCAATTTCTCTGCCATTTACATTTCTTGTTTTCTGGAATACGAGAAATATTTTGCTCAATGTAATTTCGTGTTCAGGGACCAGCTTTTATCTTTCCACTGAATCAGCAACAGGCGGCTGTGGCGGTTGCCTCTGCTCGACCAAATATTGCAAAACCGCCAAACGCAATGGGCAGTGTAGCTTCATCTAATATCTCCAATTCTGCATCCGCTAGTGCCTCTTCAACAGCTGGTGGAGCACCTACTGCTATGAGCTTCAACTACTCGAACATGCCCCCCAGTGAAACCCCATACTTGGTCTTGCAGAACAATGCATACCCTTTTCCGATTCAAGCTATGGGGCCCCCAACAAATTATCGAGGACCGCCTTCTCAGGCAATGCCTTTGTTTAATAGTTCTTTCTATTCTTCTCAGATGATCCATCCATCTCAAATTCAGCTCCAGCAGCCACCGGCCTCTCTAAGTCATCAAATGCAAGCTCATCAAAATGCAAGCAGTTCCTCATCTTCCCAGAAGCATTTACAGAGCCAGCAATTGAGGCCACAAGGCAGCAGTGCCAACGGCGGGAATGGGAGCGAGAACTTGCAAAACTTACAGACACAAAGGTCCCAGCCTTCTCAGCTGCCACAACAATCACAGAATCACCATATAAATCCTCCTCGGGCACGCCACCTTGAGAACGAGTTGTGTGGTGATGATAGTCCATCGACTGCTGATAGCCGAGGGGTTCGAGCACCAGTGAATATTTATGGTCCGAATTTTTCCATGCCTATTCACCCGCAGAATTTTGCTTTGATGACTCCTCCGGCTGCTTTGACTGATGCTGCTGCCTGCAGAAGTGGGAACCAGAGTGAGAAGCAGCAACAACCACAGCAGCAGGGTCTAAAGAGCGGAGCAGATTCACAGCCGCCCCAGACTTTTCCAATGTCATTTGGTCTGATAAATGGCACTACCACTGGTTCGGTTATTGACATGACGTCCATATCACAAAATCATGCAATCTTTCAGAGTTTCCCGGAGTCCACTCGGCAAAACATCCCGATGATGGCAGTGAAGAACTTCAGAATTTCTGAGGATGGTAAATCTGGAGGTGGTGATTCCTCTGCAACTGACGATGAGAGGAAAGGTAAGGCTGGGAAGAGTGAAGCAGGTGTTGGGCAGTCAATTGTGTTTACGAGAACAGATAGAGCCGATGCATCTGTTTCGTCCCGGACCTCTCGTACCATCAATCAGAATACTCAGATACAAACTCAAATTCAGCAGCAGCAGCAGCAGATGCTGCAGCAGTTTTCGGCAACTATGGGTGCTCGGAGTAAAGCACCATCGACTGGTAGTGTAAACATTTATTCTGAGCACTTAAATTCATCTGCATCCACAGTTGCCAAGTTTCCGAATACACTATCCGGCTACCCACAAAACATTGTTCAAAACAGCAACGTCAGCAGTCCTGTTCGGTCTCCCCAGTGGAAGAGTTCTGTAAGAACATCGACCTCACAAGCTCCATCATCTACAGCATCATCAATAAAAAATCTATCTCAGCAGCAGCCCCGAACTCAACAAATGCACACACAGATATCTTTTGGGGGAAGTCAGAAACCATCTGCTGCTTCACAAGCGCAACCCCCTCCAAGTAATAATAATAATCAGGCACCGTCTTCTCCTATGATGGTTGGCTCACCTACAACTTCGTCCATCTCCAAAGGACCAAGTGGAAGCCCGAGAAATACAGGTGCTTCCACAAGCAGCAAAACAGGACAGGTTTCTTCATTGTCTACACAATTGGCTAAAAACTCGCAAGCAGTTGCGAGCCAGAAGTCCCCATCAATTCTTGGAAACTCGCACGTCATTTCCTCTTCGAACAGTGGAACAAAACCTCAGATGCAACAACAGTCCCAACAACAGCAGTTACAAAAGAATGTGCAACAAACACAATACTTCTTTTCACATCCCTATTCCCAAGCCCAACCTCCGCACTCCACTAGTATAAGTTCCACCACTTCAGGCAGTAGTGGGTATTATACGCAGAGAAGGCGGCCACAGCAACACCAGCAGCCGACTCAGCATCCACCAGGCGCTCCGGTAACATCTTCGACTGCAATGCTGTCTTTGTGCCAGCCGGTTACTCTGGCTAGTACAAGCACTAACGATCCTGCTAAAGCAATTGCTGCAGCCACTTGCAATGTGAAAGGCAGTGGGTTACCAGCGCAAGGCCTTTTCCACGCTGCTCAATTTGCTGCACAGTCATCGGGAAATCTCTTAACAGGCTTGTCTTATGTACAAACTGTTCCTGCTGCTGTTCCTGTGAAACCTGCAGAGCAGAAACAAACTGCTGGTTAGTGTTAATATCTCTTTTCTTATGGAATTTATGCATTACATTATTGCAGCCCCATTTTAGGTCAAAAAGTAATAAGTGTGTCTGCAGATTTAGAAATAATAAATTGGGACTGTAAATTCATGAAGTCCATCACGATTTCTTGACCAGGAAATGATAATTTGCACCCATGGCAGCCTGAGAAGAAATGAAAGACGTTGCCATCAATTTTGCACAACCGTGGGAAACAACATCATCAAATGAGCAAACCACAATTTTGAAAGAAGGACAAGTTGAGCCAAGGGATGGTGTTTTACTAAGTTTTCTTGAACCGATATTCCATCCCTCTAGAATGAATGTGTGCCCATTCAACGTCCTTTGTCGACACATTGAAGGAGCTGATTGTTGATTGGTAAAATTACTAATTGAATTAAAAAGACTGGCTATGGAAGGAAGTGCTGATGAATATATTGGATGTGTTCATTTAAGTTTATAAGACTCAAGGGAAAGGCAGCGGTAGTTTAGAAAATATTCCAGTCTGTTTTGATGTAGTTAGTGGATGTTCTTTTATTTACATGTATCTTCTGTTGGGAAAATTATTTCCTGAAAGAGGATTGTGAAAAAAAAAAAAAACAGTACCTCTTTGGACATATATGTATGTAATGAAGTGCACCATATGTGTACGTCTGTGGTACATATAAGAGCAGTAAGCCCTCTCAATTCTTTTTATGAAAGTCTTGCCTACTATTAGTTGTATGATAAATATTTCTTTTACTTTTTGTTTGTTTGAACCCTGGATGTGGTCCCCATCGAGGCCAGGGTTATATTATTGGTGCAAATGTTGTGGTGCTAATGCCATTCTTTCCTTTGGCTGGTTCCACAAGGAATACAATGGTGGGGATGGTGACATCGAACCGGCCTGGCCCGGGTTAAATAGTGAAATTGATCTCCTGCCTTTAGTGGGTAGGATAAAAATTTCATTGTTGAATTTTTTGTTACGTCAATAATGAGAAGTTTTTATCTTGTTAAATGTGGACAGGAAATTACGTCTTTCATAAATAATTAAAATTAACAATATGTCCTGCAAGAAACTCAAAGTTGGCTGGGTTCGACTGTGACTTGAGAGAGTAAAAAAGGACTATGCTACTTGTACACAGTGGTTGACATCTTTGGTGTACCGATCCCCTCACAATAGGAGGTTCACGATTTTTTTATTCATCGTGGACTCCCTTTGTTGTGAGAGATCGGTATAATGGGTGTCAATTTAGTGTTCAAGTATCAAAATCCGAATAAAAATTACAGTGAGAAATATTGGAAGCGTAGTGAGGTGGTCCATTTCTTGATTGTTCCTTTGTTATGCAAATAAGACTATAGTACGATTACATCAGGCCAAATTTTGTTGAATAAAGGTTGGGTTTTGACAAAAGCAGATTTTTTTTGTACTCATTCACTAGCTTTACACGTTGCCCATGTCTACTTCACAAATATCACACTACTTTATCTTTTATTTATAATTAAATAATGCAAATAATGAGGATATTTTCATGATATCTGCTTATTGGATAATTTAGTAATATTTCATTTTCAAAGATACCTACTGGACCCTGCTGTAGGACCCAAATTAAATTGGAAAGAGGGCATTTGATTTTTGGGCCATGGGGTGTTTTGGAGTTGGTGGCTTAGAAAGTCAGCGGTGGAGATTGGCGGATGTGGCCACAAATCTTGCCTAAATTAATGTTTGGATTATTTTATTTTTAATTAATTTGTATGGGAGGTTGATTTGATATTTGGGGCCACCTGTCACCTCTTGCACATGTGTATTCCTTCTTAACCGTGCTTTAATACGTGATTTTCAACGATATTTCTTTATATAACATTCTACATTTTAAAAATTCAAAATTAACTTATTTTCTAAAAAAAAAAGTAACTTTAAAGCAATAAACATGAAGATAATAAATATTTATTTTATTTGTTTCTCTTTTCAAATCATGCTGTGAAGGAAGGTGGATTTGTGTGGTTACTTTTCAGCAATACATCTAAATAATGTCCGTTCATAGCTTTTTCGAGCATCTTGACAAAGTTTAAAATATAATTTAAGTTAACGAAATACAATTATTTCAAATGACGCACAATTTATTATTTGCATGTTTCGTAAGTTTTATAATATACAAATACATAAAAAGTAATATAAAATAAGTTTAATTTTACTTCTACACATTACTATTTTATAATGAGCAATTCAAGATGTGACATGCACCAATCTACTTTTTATTATTGTGAATGGGGTAGCATTGCTCCTAATGGTAATGTGCAATATTTTTGTCTAGTGATCAACTTTGCCTCATTTAGGTTTGATATAAAGAGGAAGACTAGAGAATGTTTGGGGTGGCTTATACTTAGAAATAACTATATTAGATATGTGGTTAAATTTAATGTAAACTCACTTAATTTCAAATAACTCGATATAAATCAGCCCTTAATATAATAACATTAGAATATGAAGTTTTGAAATGAGCCATTTACAAGACACTATATATATATATAAAGTTTTAGTTAAGAGACATAAGTTTTTATTTGTAAAGTACAAAGAAAGAAGTCCAAAATGTTCATCTAGGAGACGAAAACAAAGTGAAAATATTTTTGAGTAATGCCATTTGGTACAAGACATGCTAGCACCTATCTATGTGTTTGTAAGATTGCTATAATGTTGCCCCTCGGGGCATAGCCCGATAGTGCAAAGAATAGGAGTGAGGTTATCTCACGCCTTGCTGGCAGCCGCATTGTGGGGATTCGATACCTGAAACATGGAATTGAACTCCTTGTAGGCGCAGTGTACATGCAACTCTTGTTCTCTGGCCTGTTGGGGCACATCCCGCGATTTACCTTCCTCACAAAGCCATAGAGACGGGACGGTGGGGGCCCTCAAGGTTGGGTTTCAACCTTTTTAAGATTGCTATAATGTTGTTCAATGAAAATGAGATAGATTTTATTTCATTGAACAATGAGATAGTGAGATTTATATTAAATAACACTATTCTTTATTTTTTACATTGAAGGTTTTTAATATTGTATTTGTCTTTAATCATGTTCAATGCTATCTGGTATAATATATCAAATGAATTATATACGGCCCTTGTTTGATCCCCCATTATTTCAAAAAAAAAAAAAATTTCTTTCTCTTATTTGCAATCACACATTTTTCAATAAAATAATATTATACCCATATTCAAAACTTTTCCTTCTTTTTTTTAACCACACATTTTCCATCAATCTATTATTCCATAATGCATTTAACACCAAAAGGGGGCTCAAACAGATCTTGATTAATTGACTTGTTAGATCGATAAGTTTTAGGTTAGTTGATAGGAAACATGTTGCAATTGAGCTAACCTAGTCATCATTTAAAAGGAACTTGTTGAGATTTAACATGTCTTAGAATGTATGAGAACTGATTAGTGGCATGTCTTTGTCTAACCCAATTGCTCAAAAACCATTTTAATTGTAATTATTGGTAAATTGAATTTTGAATAGCAGCTGCAGCAACTTGGCAATTTATTGCAAGGGTTAAAAGTATTTGTACACCATAACCCCTTCACATATTGAGGGGTCCGCATTAATTTTTTTTAATTGTGGGCTCCCTTATTGTGAGGGGACATAAATGCGTACAGCATACCAAGCACAGTCCTTATTACAAATCCTAAATGGGTAATTGTCACAAAAGATTTCTACCTTTCGAATGTATTGTGGAAAACATCCCTACATTTCATTTTTTGGCACAAAACGTCCCTACTTTACACTTTCTTGGCGCTGAACGTCATTTTCATCAATTTTTGACGATTTTACCCTTCATTCAAATAAAACAAAAAGAAAAGAGAGGAAAAAAAACTAATTGCAACCACATTCCCAAATTTTCTAAAAATTGCAAATAGTAACTTGATAATTACAATATTAAATAAATTGGAAAAAAAATCAAAAAATTAAGAAAAAAATTTTAAAAATGGGTTGTCTTCTTCACGACACCCCATCCCATGCATCTCACCCCACCATATAAAATCTCTCTGCACAGCTAATCCTCCAAATCCGAAGCCCCATTACATCTCTCGAGGGTTGTTAATATCTTACTTTCTTGCTATTTATATTCTATTATTGTTATTTTTCAGTTTTGATTATTTTTGTGGGTGGTATAGATGGGGGAAATTTGTCAGGTTTAGGATTAGAAATGGAAAAAAAGAACTTGAAGGAGAGGCTGGCTGTTTTCAGAATGATGGTGACGATTCCACTATTGACCCTGATATTGCACTCTCTTACATTGTAAGTTCATTTTATTTTTTTACTCTTTCTTTGTAATTTAGTTTTTCAATTTTCTAAAGCTGCATGTAGTTTGATTTACGAATTATATCCTGTTCAGTTGTGCAGAGAGATGTAATGGGGTTTCGAATTTGGAGGATTTACTGTGCAGAGAGATTTTGTATGGTGGGATGTGGTGAAGAAGACAACCCATTTTTTTAAAAAAAAATTTCTTAATTTTTTGATTTTTTTAAATTTATTTAATATGGTAATTATCAAGTTACAATTTGCAATTTTCAGAAAATTTGGGAATGCGGTTGCAATTAGTTTTTTGTTTTTTTTCTTTCTTTTCTTTTTATTTTATTTGAATGGAGGGTAAAATCGTCAAAATTTGATGAAAAGGACGTTCAGTGCCAAGAAAGTGGAAGATAGAGACGTTTTGTGCCAAAAAATGAAAAGTAGGGATGTTTTCCACAATAAACTTGAAAGGTAGGGATGTTTTGTGCCAATTATCCAATCCTAAATCTTCGACCAACGAAATTATTGGCAATCTAGTTCTGACTTTGCTTCTTATTGTCGTTTTCCGGGTCAAATGATTCGATGCTTTTTTTCTATTTTATCTATAACTAATTCGATTCCTTAATTATTCTATTTTAGTGTACCCTCATTCTAGTAGGATGCAAATGAATTTGGTCATTATTTGTAATTATATAATAATTTGGATGAATACGGGGATGAGAACTAAACCTGCGTACACGTAACTTTAAACCACTTGAAAAATCATGAAATCTGAATATTCAGACAAAAAAGCATAAAACAGAAGAAAAAAAAATTATAATTTATTGATAAAAATTCAAGTGCAAATAGTTAAAAACACTAATAAATGTTCAATTCTGCGTATTAATAAGAAATTATACAATTCCTTTGATAAATCTTCCTGTAATAAAATTAAAGAACATGTCCTTTGGCCGTGCTTAAAAGCCATAGGTGGTGACTTTTGATTCTGAAAAATGTGAATTTGAACGGGAAATAAGTACCTTAAAACTAATTATACCTTACTTTTAATCACAATCAGAGACTTGTGGGCTGGGGATTTCGTGAATTTCACACAGCAAATCACTTGGCAGTAATATTTGATCCGAATTTTTGCAAGAACACAACAAATCTCAGTAAAATGACTTCTCAGAAATTACTTCATCAGAAGAATTAAGAAGAATTAAGAATTTTTCTTTACAGTAGAAGAAAATATGATCCGAAAACAAAAGCAAATAAATGCATAAATTCCACCATAAAATTAGGTTTCTTGAATTATTGGATCCCTTCTAAGCCATGCCTTGAGTGGACTGATTTCAGAATTCCATCAGCTGAAAACTTAATGAATCTTGCGCATTCCAGGAAAATGAACTTTTCAGAATAGAGAAGCGATTGTCTTAAAACCCGAACCTTGCATTGTAAAAGCTTAATTTCATCACTGCC